AAAATAGTTGCATAACAAAAATTATCAGATCACAGGAGAAAAATTTAGACAAAATAGAAGTTCACATGAAGAAAAGAAATAATGTGTGATAAAAAGAAATATTACTTACTTGATCAGTAACAGAACAACACCACTGACAATACTACTAACGATGACAACTAATGATAATATCAACAACAGATTAGTTTATTTGGAACAAAAATTATTGATTAATATAAAGCTTCTAGATATATGTGTAATGAATGATTTGTATACTATATTGCTACATTGTTAAGATCTTAATAAATATAAATATTCTTTCCTGGTAAGTTTCTATTCTTGATTCTATTCTTGAAAAAAATTATTCACAAAGCATGAAAATAAAAAAATTTTATAAAAAATATGGTTAAAATAAAATATTATGTGTTTTAAGATACTTATTTCAAATAAATCAAAGGCATATATGTAGTATAGTAAATGCTGCGTGCTTCCAAAGTAAAGTTTTTAAAGAAAAACTTCTATACTTTATAATTTAACACTAAAACTACATGGTATTAATCTATATATTGTACTACTTTAATATATATTTTATTAAAAATTTATTGACTTTATATATGACTCTAAAATATATATTTATGCTTTATATATAAATGATCTGTGTCAAAATTTTCTCTGGTTAATTGGCAGATCATCAATTAAAAAAATTACTTGGTTTGTTGAGGTTGCAATAATCGCTTTTTATTTTAAAGAATCAAAAATATTAATATCATGATCCTAATCATGACTAATTAACAATATTACATAATTTTCAAAACTTTTTTGGGTGGTGATTTTATCCTGTCTCAAAAATCAGTTGGTCACTGTAATCGAACCGAAAATGGAGCTGAAAGGAAAATTATAAGGCATTTGAATATTGTAAGAAAATTGCTAAATATGAACATTCCGATAGACAAAGTAACTCTAGACTCTGCTATGAAAATAGAATTAGAGATAAAAAAATAAACATCAGGCATCTAATTATTACCAGGAAGATACTGATATGGATAATGATAGTGTTGGTCATAAAGCTTTCGATCTCAGGTATAGCAATAAAGATAGAATCAAAGTTGATAATAATGGAACTTATACTTCTAGATATTGTTCTCAACATAGAATTAGAACTAAAAGAAATGATTATAAAGTAACTGCTTATCAAAGCCCGGAAATTTGAGTAGTACTGATGAAATATATAATATTAGTTATTATTGTGATAGAATTGAAGTAGAAAAGGATGAACATAACATATTTATTAACTATCAAAGAAACCTCAGAATGAGACTTACTGAAAGAATACTTAATGCTGGTTATCATTATCAAGAAATTGAAGTCGAAAAGAATAAAATAAAAGACAACAAAATTGAATATAAATATGGTGTAGTCTATGATGTAATGCATATTTTAGTGATAATGAAGACTCCAAATATGAATTTAATAAAAGATACTATAATGTACCTGATATTGAAAAGAAAAAGGTCTTTGGAATGAACAACCATCAGTTAGATAAATCGAAGGCTGATATTGATCAAATGATAGTTGTAAAAAATGATATTAAGCATGATAATACTGTAAAGGATAAATATAAAGCACCTACATTTGCGAAGATGAATAAGATGTGTGATCTTGCCAAATTAAATCAAAATAGGGTTGTTAAAAAAGATAAATATAAAACATCCAATAATTATCAAAAACTGAAGTTATATGGGCCACCTGAGTAACAATAGCTATGACCTGAGCATTTAAACTCAAACTAGTCTGCAGACTTCGGACCAAACCCAGACCAGACTCAGACTTGACTAAAAAGTTTGAATATAAAAGTCTGAGTCTGGTCTGAAAATCAGACCAGACTTAAACTTAACTAAAGTCTGGTTCGAGTTTGGTCTATAGGAGCACTAATATATAGCAAAGGTTAAAATTGTTACAGTACTAGATAGTAAAATATATCTAATATTGATTAATAAAAACTTTAAAGTATTATAACTTTTAAAACAAGCTAAATCAAAAAACCTTCTAACAAATTAATAGATTTTTAGATAAATTATATTTTTGGCAGAGAAATTTTTTTTATTTGTTGTTTTGAAAAAGTTATAAAGAATTAAGTTCAAAAAATTAGTATTTAATATAAACAAAAAGAAAATATATATTTTTTTA